ACAAAAAGGGATTCAATCAATAATTTAACAGCCCTATGCCAAGTCATGTAAGTTTGACTTCCATGCATCCATTTTCTGTCATGCTTATTCCAAGCCGGGGTCATGAGGGATGCTGGTGCCTATCTGCAGCTGTCTACAGGCGAGAGGCAGGGTCCACCCTGGACAGGCCTGCAGTCAATCACAGAACAACACAGAGACAAACAGGACAAACAACCATCCACGCACACACTCACACCTAAGGAGAATTTAGAGAAGCCAATTAACCCAACAGTCATGTTTTTGGGACTGTGGGAGGAAGTCGGAGTACCCGGGGAGAACCCACGCATGCTCAGGGAGAACATGCAAACTCCATGCAGAGAGACCCCGGGCTGGGAATGGAACCTTGTTGCTGCAAGGCAGCAGCGCTACCCACTGCGCCACTGAGTAGCCCCGTTATCTAAATATCTTATTTTAAGAGTAAAAATACTCATTCCATTGAAAGATCATCTTATTTACTTACTCAAATTAAGGGTAGATAAACTTCATTTAAGAAATGTTTATGTATTTCTAGATGGTTTTCCAGTGCATGATGCAGTGATGAAAGGAAGAGGATCCCCTCACTGTCTTTTGCAGGATATTAGGCAAACCAAAATGTCTGTTCAGGTGTGAAAAATGACGATATGAACCCTGGAGTTAATCACATTCAAACTTTATTGGAAAGGAACATCCAGGACTTTTACACGTCTTCACCACTAGTCCCAGTTACAGTGACTGGGAGGACAGGAATCCAGGAAGGTTTGGTCTCGTCCAACAGGAAGAAAGATGCAACACTTCATCCAACAACAACAAATATCAACATGAAACACAATTCAATTCACAATAAATTATCCAGCCTGACTCCGCCCCCTTCTTTAACCAGGAATTAATCTGAGACTGCAGGTGGGGGTGGGAGCTTTCATCAGGGGGTCAGAGGTCATGCTGAGGCTCCTTATGTCACCATGTACTCCTGCCGCTTGTTGAGCCGCACCTGGCAGAGTGAGATGGCGCCCACCGCCACGTAGATGGCGGCGGCGATGAAGCAGTTGATGCCCACCCTGTTGTAGAGGGCGTAGATCGCCTGAGGGGGGTTCTTACTGTGAAACACAGATCAGAGAGCGGTTAGCATCATCATGGATGGAGGAAACAAAACAACAGTTTGATCCTTAAGCATCAGAAGGAACCAGTTTGAACGTTTCAGAACCTAAAACCACATCGGCTGTTTGAAGACGACCCGGTTAAATGTTGTGAGATGGAGACATCAGCGGCTCTCAGAATAATCTCATTTTGTTTGCATGTTTTATAATCGTCCACTAAAAATGTCTTTAGTCATTTAATTCCTTATAGTTTTCAGATGGAGCAGAAACTGGGTTTTTTTTAGCAAAATACTGATCCAATTAGATGGTTGATCCAAAGAAAAAAAATCTAATAAAACACATTAACTTTAAACAAGCTGTGGGAGAACCAGGTTTATCCTGAACCTTCAGTTTAAGACGCTTTTAAACTGAAATCTGGTCTGTTCCTGTTTGGCTGTGACTCCATCCTGGAGAGAAACATCAGCTGTGCTGCTGCCATCAACACCTTTGTTTATAGAAGTTGGAGATCGGCCTGTTTTCCAGTGTAGTCCTGTTTCTCTGACTGTGACTGACTGGATTAGCTCTCTTCATCCTCTTACATGGGAGCTGGCTCGGAGCTCGTCTGCCTGGCTGTGTGTTTCCTAGACAAAGTGCCTTTTTCAGCTGCTTTTTGTATCACTGTTTTATAGATGTATCAGGTTTCTGATGTGTCGACTTTCAGCTTCTGACTTTACCTTTAAGAACCAAAAGCTCTGTATGTTTATTACAGCGCAAATTTTTATCTTACATGGAGGGAAAGTCAAGCGGCAGATTTATGGCGAGAATTATGTTCCATTTTTGTTCAAACCAAAGAACAAGTTTAGTAAAAATCTACTCCAGTGATGACACTTTCAAAAACTTCTTAATAATAGAAAAAAGGTTTTGAGATCAACTCTAGTGTTTTCTCTGATTTTCATCTTTTTTCAAGTCGAACTTCAGAGATCAAACTCTCTTGCCTTGCGGGGGCGGGCCTTCGTCTGGAGGCCGGAGCAAAGACCCATTTCTATTGGTCTGCTAGATGTTAGCAAAGAAATGTAATTGGTTAAGAGTTAGACGTTGTGTGAAGAGAATGATCTATAGAAAGAACTTTGAAAAGGAAATATTTTTAAAATATATATTTGACCCTAAAATGTGAAGAAAAAAAATTAATCTGCGAAACTTTTCAAAGTTTAATTTCTGGGTTGCTTTTTTCTTTTTTTATGTCTGTTAACTACATGTGGAATTGCCTGAAACAATAATGGAACAAAGTTCCCTCCATAGAGGAAGCTGATTAAATAATTTCCAGCCGTTCTAATGTTACTGAACCCACAGGATGTCGCTGCTTCCTGGAGGAGATTCGCCTTTGAGATGAAGAACTACAGGGTCTTTCTATCAGCTGATCAAAGGTCAGCAGCTATTTGATTGGTTCTTCATCATTTCAGATGTTTAGAAACATCAGATTCAGGACCAGGAAGCACACTGGAAAAGCAATCCAGAAATAAGTAGAAATTTCTTAAAATTAGGTGTATTTACTCTTAATTTAAGTAGGTAAAGGAGGTAGTTTGCCAATAGAATGTGTTGTTTTTTACTCTTAAAATAAGATAATGTTATGTGCTTGAAATAAGACAATGCAATTTTGTTTTCTAATTTTAAGTGTAAGTTGTGTTATTCCATTGGCAAACTGTCTCTTTTACCTCCTGAATCCGAGAACAAATGCACTTATTTTAAGAACAAATGACTTATCTAGATTTCCATTTTTTCCAGTGCACTGGACCAGCCCAGACGACCCAAATCCGTACAGAAAGCTCAGTCTGCCTTCCTCCATCTTTAGTTGGAACTAGGCGAACCCTTTTCCACCTGAGAGAGCAGGACGTGTTCTGTTTAGTTAGTGACTCACTCGTTCAGTATGTCCTCCTCGGTGAATGGGACGTCTTCGATCAGAACGGCTGACTTGGCGCTGAAGAAGATCCCCAACATCGCCTGGAAGACAAAAAGCAGTGATGCTCAACATGAGGTGTGGGGGCCTAAACCCCTGAATAATAATATTGAAAAACTTCTTTATAGAAGTTAATTGTAACTTCAATCACACAGTGACCCATATTCAATAATCATATCAAAAATTTAATTAAATGGCTGGTTATCCTCCCACAGCAGTGAGTCGCAGTGAGCTTGTGGGCAACATTTTTAATTTATGCCTTATATTGAAGCGTGGTCTGCGCTATGTTATTCCACGTCACAACTCAAGAGGGACAATCAGGAACTAGCTGTGGCTAGATCTAGATACGGCCAAGGCGGTGAGGAAGTGGGGGCAAGTTTGTGCGACAACAGAGGGACATGAGGGTCACCAACTATTTGGGAGAGGTGCAGCAGAGTGTCTGTGGAGGCAGCCTGGTGTCTGAGTATAAAACAGCCTTAATGCTTGACAGCTGACAGTGAAACAGCAGTGGCAGTATCATGCTGTGGGACACAGATGCTGCTCTGGACAGAGCTGTGCTATTCTCTGAAGCTCTGAAGCAGAGGACCAATCTGTGTTTCTATGTCTGAAAACCTGGAATATAAAAGGACTTCCTCCTGTGGAGAATCACATGAGGGGAATGGAAAAGTCACGTGACTCATTAAAGGGAAGCGCCTGACTCTGACATGGTGGACTAAACCAGTCAGAACACACCGAACCAGCCAGTTCACCAGTAACAGTCTGATCAACAGTATCAGATGTTAGATCAGCTGGTTTAATTCAGCTCCAGTGTTTAGACGTACCCCACCTTAGGCAGGTCCGCAGTCACTGTACATTCAGTTCAACCAACCTGGCTACCGTCTATCTCCTGATTAGCTACGGTCTCGTGAATTACTCTGTGGTAGAATTTACATTATTTAGCCCTTATAGAGTTTGAGAATTAAACTGACCCCCAAAATGCTATCGTTAATAGTTTTAAATAAATATAAACCGAAATGATCCCGTCAACAGATTCTGTCCAGGAAATAGTCGGATCCCATCGGGTTCTTACCAGCATGATGACCCCCCAGATGCTGATCACCATCCCGCAGGCGGCCATCTTCGGCCCGCAGAACAGAAGCGACGGCATGTCCGCGTTCACCGAGCAACCGATCGATTAATTTAATCCTATTTTCTGTCGGATTATCAAAACAAATCAGAAACGATCCATTGAAGGACGGAGCGGCACAGTCAGCTGATCTCCGACGTTCGGCTTTTCTCGGTTATTTCCGGAGCTCCGCCTCCCCTCCTGAAACGGACCAATAGCATCGAGCTGCTAAAATCGCGCAGTGTTCGCCACATCCGGTCTACCTACCATTGTTGTTTAATATTGTTATTTTTCTTTCAAACATGTGTGTTTTGAGCGTTATGCAGGTTCCTTAAATCATCCTATTGGTTGCAAACCTCCACAGTTCAGCGCTGTTTAAATGAATCGCGGTGAGGCTTAAATGGAGCTAACAGGCCGCTAGCAGCAGCGGGCTAACTAAGGCTAATTGTGGCTAACTATTCTGGTAGTTTTGTGTTTTTTTTGTAATTAAGTTTAAACACACAAAGTGGTTTTAAAAAATGACGTCGGCCTCTGCTAAGGTAAGCTGCTCCCAGTTTTTTCCTGTTTTTTTCAATTTCTTAAATGGTCCGATCCATCAATGAGCTAACCTCCCCGCTGCGCAAGGAATTAAATTAAGAAATCTTGTCATTTTTGAATGTTTTTGTTATAAAACCTTAAAATTCATTACAAAGACATATATTTTTGTTCGGCTTGAATTGGTACAGTTTACAGATTAAATCGGCTCACAATAACTTTATTGATTCTTAATTATTACTGAAATAAAACAATAACCTCCTTGCTGCTTTTAAAACACTGTATGAAAATCAAAATAAATTCCTGTTTCAGGCTTTATTTATGATTACCACCATAGACTTTATTATTCATATATTAAGGGCATCCCTAAATTTTCCCACTCAGTTCCTGTATGCTGCTACGCAAGGTCCGTTGCCATGGTGACCCTGTTAGTGATGTGCAGCCAGTGTCTGCTCTCCTAAATCTAGATTATTTTGATTCTTTGTCACAGAATCAATGAAGAGCTCAAACAGACTGACTGACCTGCCCTTAGAAGTCATGGTTTTAATTCTCTTGAATATTTCCAAACACGTTTAAAGCTCTAAACATGCAGCAGATACGGTCCTGCTGCAAAGGTTCTTCTAATATGAAAACAAAGACAAAATTAACTAGGCTTCCAGTTATGCTCCTTTGACAGCTTCTTATTTAAGACCAGCTCATAGTGGTTATTTGAAATAGAATAAAATATTTTATAGATACATATAGTTGTTGTTCTGTGCACATTTGGGAGGTTAGAGAGAAGAGAAGAAACTATCATTCAGATTATTAAAAGAAAAACAAAATTGTTCCTGAGCCCCAGAAGCAGTTCCTAGGGAGGAACATGGTACAATCTGGATAACAGTTTCTTTGTTGGTTCTCTTCAGGTTGGGGAAATCTTCTCAGCAGCTGGAGCAGCTTTCACCAAGCTGGGCGAGCTGACCATGCAGCTGCATCCGGTGTCTGACTCCAGCCCTGCAGGGTGAGACCCCGACACACTCTGATGACCTCTGATCCTTGCAATAACTGAGACATTTAAAACTCTGCAGGCAGCTGAGATGGAGGCTGAACTCGTTAGATCGCTAAACGATTGTTAAATCCGATCTATAAAAGTTCTCTTCTCCGTTTAGGTACATAATCCCAGCAAACATCATGACTACAGCTGTTTCCAAACCAAAATCATTACTAGTCATCCTGTTAGTTATCTAGAGAAAGATAAAATGGTATTCATGTAACTTTATGTCAGACATCTTCAGTTTTACCTCTCTGGTAGGATTAAAAAATAAATAAAAACACAAGATTTAAAGTTGATTACTACAACTTTAACTCCTTCTTGCCAGTAAGCGGTGCTCTCCTTCTGTACTGTTAGCCAATTACCAGGCCTGCTAATGCCAACCAAACCAAACATAACTTATCAGTTCTTATAACTTACTTATAACTTATCATTTCTATTTGCTTCATTAACCCTTTATAGAGCGCTCAGCTTTGAAAATTAAAATGTCAAGCCAATAGTGTTATTGGAATCCAGGACAAGACCTTATTACCTTTGTAACATAAAAAAAAAAATTGATATTTTGATGCCAAAAATTACTGTCAATGTAAAACAAGAAACGCGAATTTACCCAAATATATTAATAAAAAAGTGCTTTTATAAGAAATTCAAGATAAACACTCTGAAAGTGAAAGAAATACATTTTTTTACATCACCTTAGAGGCATTAAAGCCGATACTGGCACTTACATTTTTTACTTTCTAAACCTAATATAATTTTTAACTAGGCTTATTAACTTTACTTTTTAACTTTTCGATTAGCGTTTTACCTTTTTTCCAACTTACTTTACAGTAGGTAATATGTTATTCAAGAGCTCATCTAATTGGTCAAATGCGACAATAAGATGCACAGCCATGTAGCTGTGTCTTTGCTGAATGGCTGGATATAGATCTTGTGTTTCTAGACCTCACTGAGGGACGAAGGGAACTCTGTTTGTAAGGGGTGTGTAAGGGATAACAAAAACGCTAAGTTGCCCTATAAAGTGTTAAAGCACCAACACTAGATTGAGTTCACCTTTCTTAGCTTTTATTGACTTGAATCCTAGAAATGTAAGCAGAGATGCCGTTTGTCAGCTCTATCATGGCGCCACTAGGACCTGGTAACACCTGAGCTCTGTCATCTCACTTCCTGTTCTTTAAACCTACAGTCATTAAACATTTTCATTTGGCTAATTTTTTGTATCTGAAATGTTAGCTTACGTTTCCTATTAACCAAAGTCAGTTTGTTGAATCGATGGAGTCCCTCACAGACGGCACCGATCTGGGCCGTCATCATCCTCGCCATCATCTTTAGCTCCCCATTCAGCTGTTATTCCCCCTGAAAGCAGAACAAGCAGCAGCTCGGTTCTTTACAGGCAGGACAAGCTGAACTGAAGTGCCGCTGTGTTCGTCCTCAGAGCCAAATGGACGGAGACGGAGATCGAGATGCTGCGATGTGCCGTGCGTCGCTTTGGAGACGACCTCAACAACATCAGCACTGTGATCAAAGAGCGCACCGTGTAAGTCTTCAGGGAGCAGCTCCTCTCATTCAGGACCTGCTTTAAGAAATCCGTTCAGCAGCAGCTCTGCCGCCAAACCGGGAGGAAACGTGGAGGATCGTCATGGTGATGGAGGCTATCATTAGCATAAAGCTCTGAGGGGTGTGGACTGGAGGCCTCTGAGCTCCAGGCTGCCGTGGTGTTCATGTCTGAGCTGAGGTGTTTAGAGGCGGAGCAGGAAGTTCCACCTGCAGGCGGACGGAGAAGGAAAAACCCGATTATTCAGGTTTAATACCAACGGGTCCAGATTTCCTCACCTGAATGGAGGCTAACAGGATGTTAGCTGGCGACTCATCATGGCTCATGTTGGTCATTCTGTGTCTGATGTCATCTAGTCGGTTTCTTTCAGGTTTTCTTGATTCTCTGGGCCTCGATTGATGGTTGAACCTGATTGGCTGACGGCCGTTCTTCTTCCTCTGCAGCGCTCAGATAAAGAGCACGGTGAAGCGGAAGCTGTACGAGGACAGCAGGGTCCCCATTTCCACCGAATCGCCCAAGAAAACCGTCAAAAAGGCGTCCGTTCCCATGGCGCCCAGCCCCGCCCCGGCCGCCCCCGCCATGATCAACGTGCCGACCTCGCAGGTCGTCGTGGCAACGGGGATGCAGAACAGCCCGTCATTAGCCCCGCCCATTAAAAAGCAGAAAACGGCAGGTGAGAGCGGGTTAAACCTCTGGTGGTTCTGAGCCAACGGTGCGGTTCTGTCCGGGTTCTGATCTCCTTCCTTCCTCCTGCAGACGTGACGCTCAGCGCTCTGAATGACTCGGACGTCAACAGCGACCTGGTGGACATTGAAGGACTGGGAGACGGGTCCTCCAACAAGAAGCTCAACTTTGACCAAGGTAGGTGGAAGATGCTGTTAGATATATGGACGGTTCTGACCCGGTCGGGTTCATGGACGGTTCTGACCCGTTTCTCCTTCAGGAACCCCTGATGACCTCGGCTCTAACCGTCTTCCTCTTGTTCCTCAGAGAGCCTGAATCTGGACTCCAGCCTCATCATGAACTCCAGTGACCTCCCTCTTCTGTCCCGCTGACCTCACTGCAGAAGCTCCGCCCCCCTTTCCTTCCACGCTTTTATTTTGAAGCCCAGCAGCCCGCCAATGTTTGTCTTCAGAACCGTTTTATTGTGGAAGATGACGAGGTCTTCGAGTCGGATTTAGTTTTCAGTTTGAGGCGTCGAGCTGCAGACGATCTCAGGATCTCTGGGTTCCGTCTCCACATTCGGACTCCTTCTTTGACCCGGTTTGTTCTGAGAGCCAGATAGAAACCAGCGGTGGGTCTGACAGTCCAGGAGACCGAGCCGGTTCTGATCTTCTGACCCGGTTCTGATCTTCTGACCTCCAGTGAAAATAAAACGGCTGTTTGCATCTAGATGTTCTTCTGTCTATGTTCTTCTCACAGGGATGTTTGGTTCTTAACATCTGGAGTCGGTTCTAAAAGGTGAAAATGCTGGTGAAGATCCGTCATTCCAAAAAAAAAAAAAAGAAAATTAAAAACAGTCCACTGGACTTTGTTTCCATGTTGGAAGACGTTTGGCTTCCCGTCCAGGAACTTCCTGGAGTCAAAGACATTTTGAATTGAAGAAACTTCCTGGATTGGAAGCAAAACGTCTTCCAACTTGGAAACAAAGTCCAGTGGACTCTAGGCCGATCCGTTTTACTCCAGAGGTAGAACCAGAACCATCCCTAAGGATTTCTTTGGATCGACCTGCAGTAGGCGGCTTGTTCCGTGGTCCGACCCGGATTCCCAGACGGTTCTCCAGGTGAAGGACGAACCCATTTCAACCGGTTTGAGGTTCTTGTTCTGGACGATCTTCACCAGACCTCTAGAGTTTTTCCTTCTACCAACAAACCCAGAACCTGGGTCCGGTCTGAACCGAGGAGAAAAGGTCCGATTCAAACAAAGACACTGGTTCTGTTTTGTTCAGACTTTATTTTAATGGTAAATTTAATAAACAATATAGATGATATTTATGGAGAACAATAAAAATCCGTCTTATCTGGGCCGACGGAACCAACAGAACTATTTACATGTGCTTCTGGTTCCCTTAGTTGACCCAAACCCAGCAGCCCTTTTTAAACCTGGATCTCACTCTGGAAGACCGGTACCGCTCAGATCCAAAACTATGCTTTTACATTTGGCCCAGACCCGGTTCTGAAGAACCTGAAATCTGAGCCCAACCAGGGAACCACAGACTGACTTTGGGCTTCCAGAGTAAAACGCCTTTAATACTGAAACTGTCTTTGCTACAACATTCGGTTCTGCTCAGAAATGAGGTCCAAACGGACCGTGAGCAGAAGCAGAACAGTAGGTCCGCTTTTTTTCTATTTGGCTTAAAGCTTCTTTGAAGCAGAATCCTCGGGTTCTCCGGCACCAGAACCGACCCACTTCATGGTTCCGTCAGTAACAGAGATGTGCAAATAAGAAAATAATCCACAAAAAGTCGACATAAAGCTACAGAACAGCAACGGTACCACAGAGAGTCCAATCCGCTCCAGAACCTTCCCTTTATAAGCTCGGATCCGGCACCTGGCCCACTCAGAACCAGGTTCTCTGAAGAGGATCGGACTCTCTTGGATGGTAACCAGGTCAGAAATAAAGCAGGAAGCAGCAAAGGTCCGGTCCAGTTCATGTTCTTTTTGTGGAAATAAAGACACTTGGAAATGTTCTGTTCTGGGTCAGATGCTGGCCGGTTCCGGCCGTCTGAAATCCCGCCTTCAGGCACAGCGATGAATGGAAGTAGAAATATGAACAATGCAAAGAGCAAAGGCTGGAATCTGATCCAGAACCGGGCCAGGTTCTGGAGGCCTCACAGCCCTGCAGTCTATGGGTCTGGCTGAGGTTCACAGGCTTCAGAACCGGACCCGTCGGTTATTAACACAAACCATCAGCATGGTGGCGGTTCTGACAAGAACCAGGAATATGTGCAAAATCGCTTCAGGTTAGAACTTTTGGGTTTTAAATTCTGAACGCTTTACTCCAAAAATATGCGGAATCTGGACCGGTTCTGTTTCCATCCGGCACAGCGGGTGGAAATGTTTCCGTTGTCATGGTAACAGAAAGTCCACACAGCCTCCAACACAGTACAGATACCCTGGATGAAGCACTGTTAAACCCAGCAGAACCTCACTGCTTCCAGCTGTAAAGCACGGCGGCGGCAGGTGGTGATATGGGCTGGTTCTGCTTCAGCAGCAACTGGTGCCAATTGATGCTAGATTCCATCAACAGATCCAAACAGCAGCAGAACTGCTGCTGAAGAACAGAATCTGTCCTAGTCAAAGCCCAGACCTGTGGCTGAGCAGAACCATCAGTGCAGAGCTGTTCTGCTGGGGTTCTACAGGTTTCTGGACCAAGAGGTGGATCCAGGTTTTCAACCAAAAGAAAACGCACCGGGTTATCAGAGACTCAGTACGTTCTGGTGACCATGAATCCTACAGCGCCACCTGGTGTCCAGGCTGCACCGTTACCTCACTGTGGTGGAACTGGGCCGGATCAGAGGGTTCTACGCATCCAAGTTTGAAATTAAACATCGTCATGGAAACATGAGAGAGGAGAAGACCGAACCGAGTCCGCTATGTACATATAGATACATTATTAACACAGGGTCCAGTTCAGAACCAGACCCAGAATGAGCCGTATAGCAAACCAACCCTTAATGGAAGCGTCTCCGAACCTTCTGGAGGCTCCAGCCTCAGCTCTGGTTTGGATTCTGGTTCTGGAAGTCCAGGCAGATCCAGATGCTCTCAGAACCTCTCCGATAAAAACGGCTCCGACCAAATGACCTCAAGGTTCTGCTGAAGTTCTTCCGCCAGCATTTCTCCAAGTCCCGGCTCAACAGGAACTGCCTAAAACTGGACCAGCAGAACCAGAACCATCTGCTCTGAATGGAGATCTGAGGAAAGGAAGCCTGGACCCACACTTCCTGGTCCTGATTTAGCTGCTTCTACATGTTGCTGTCCTCATCTGAGGGACACAACCAGCGTGTCCTCAGCATGTCCTCATGTCCAGCCAGAGCTGGGTTCTGAGCTGAGGGCGTCTGTCCAACATGTCTGCAGGAAGAGGCGGGGCTTACAGTGATTCTGGCAAATGATTGGATAGAAAATAAGGTGCGGTGAAGCTGCTGGTCCTGCTGGTGCCACAGGTGGAGCTCTAGTGTCCCTGGTGCTGGTGGGGGGTGAAGGCGGGAGGAGGAGACAGAGAGAGTGGGCGGGGCTGAAGACCGCTGCCCCCTACAGGCGGAGAATCCAGCGACGACTGCGAGACACTGAGACGGAGAAGCGGGATGAGTTTCTAGGACCGACTGGGTCTCAGGGTTAGCCACAATCTCAGCTGACCGTTACCTGACGGTGTAGCTGCTGCTGCGGTGGGAGGGGTCTGTTACCCCGGCAACAAAAAGCTTCTTCGGAGGTCCGTCTGAGTCCACACCGCCTGGAAAACAGGAGCGTGTGACGGGTTAGATCTGGAGGCCCCCTCAGTTTGTTTAGGGGTTCTAACGGCGGTTCTGAAAGCTACCTTTCCTCTTCAGCGGCGTCAGCACGGGCCATCTGACGCTGGCGCTAACCGCGGGTCTGTTGGACACCAACACAAACGTCAGAGCACTGATTCAGACAGAACCTTCCAGAATTAAACCGACTGACTGAGCTGGTTTGAACCTGAACCTCCGCGTGGGACTGGGGGACGAGTTGGGCGTCACGCCGCTGTCCTGAGACGGGCTCCACTGCAGGAGATAGAAACGGGGGTCTGGATCAGTAAAAACTGCCAACAATCTAGTTTAGATTCATCTAAATNCATTCAGCTGTTATTCCCCCTGAAAGCAGAACAAGCAGCAGCTCGGTTCTTTACAGGCAGGACAAGCTGAACTGAAGTGCCGCTGTGTTCGTCCTCAGAGCCAAATGGACGGAGACGGAGATCGAGATGCTGCGATGTGCCGTGCGTCGCTTTGGAGACGACCTCAACAACATCAGCACTGTGATCAAAGAGCGCACCGTGTAAGTCTTCAGGGAGCAGCTCCTCTCATTCAGGACCTGCTTTAAGAAACCCGTTCAGCAGCCGCTCTGCCGCCAAACCGGGAGGAAACGTGGAGGATCGTCATGGTGATGGAGGCTATCATTAGCATAAAGCTCTGAGGGGTGTGGACTGGAGGCCTCTGAGCTCCAGGCTGCCGTGGTGTTCATGTCTGAGCTGAGGTGTTTAGAGGCGGAGCAGGAAGTTCCACCTGCAGGCGGACGGAGAAGGAAAAACCCGATTATTCAGGTTTAATACCAACGGGTCCAGATTTCCTCACCTGAATGGAGGCTAACAGGATGTTAGCTGGCGACTCATCATGGCTCATGTTGGTCATTCTGTGTCTGATGTCATCTAGTCGGTTTCTTTCAGGTTTTCTTGATTCTCTGGGCCTCGATTGATGGTTGAACCTGATTGGCTGACGGCCGTTCTTCTTCCTCTGCAGCGCTCAGATAAAGAGCACGGTGAAGCGGAAGCTGTACGAGGACAGCAGGGTCCCCATTTCCACCGAATCGCCCAAGAAAACCGTCAAAAAGGCGTCCGTTCCCATGGCGCCCAGCCCCGCCCCGGCCGCCCCCGCCATGATCAACGTGCCGACCTCGCAGGTCGTCGTGGCAACGGGGATGCAGAACAGCCCGTCATTAGCCCCGCCCATTAAAAAGCAGAAAACGGCAGGTGAGAGCGGGTTAAACCTCTGGTGGTTCTGAGCCAACGGTGCGGTTCTGTCCGGGTTCTGATCTCCTTCCTTCCTCCTGCAGACGTGACGCTCAGCGCTCTGAATGACTCGGACGTCAACAGCGACCTGGTGGACATCGAAGGACTGGGAGACGGGTCCTCCAACAAGAAGCTCAACTTTGACCAAGGTAGGTGGAAGATGCTGTTAGATATATGGACGGTTCTGACCCGGTCGGGTTCATGGACGGTTCTGACCCGTTTCTCCTTCAGGAACCCCTGATGACCTCGGCTCTAACCGTCTTCCTCTTGTTCCTCAGAGAGCCTGAATCTGGACTCCAGCCTCATCATGAACTCCAGTGACCTCCCTCTTCTGTCCCGCTGACCTCACTGCAGAAGCTCCGCCCCCCTTTCCTTCCACGCTTTTATTTTGAAGCCCAGCAGCCCGCCAATGTTTGTCTTCAGAACCGTTTTATTGTGGAAGATGACGAGGTCTTCGAGTCGGATTTAGTTTTCAGTTTGAGGCGTCGAGCTGCAGACGATCTCAGGATCTCTGGGTTCCGTCTCCACATTCGGACTCCTTCTTTGACCCGGTTTGTTCTGAGAGCCAGATAGAAACCAGCGGTGGGTCTGACAGTCCAGGAGACCGAGCCGGTTCTGATCTTCTGACCCGGTTCTGATCTTCTGACCTCCAGTGAAAATAAAACGGCTGTTTGCATCTAGATGTTCTTCTGTCTATGTTCTTCTCACAGGGATGTTTGGTTCTTAACATCTGGAGTCGGTTCTAAAAGGTGAAAATGCTGGTGAAGATCCGTCATTCCAAAAAAAAAAAAAAGAAAATTAAAAACAGTCCACTGGACTTTGTTTCCATGTTGGAAGACGTTTGGCTTCCCGTCCAGGAACTTCCTGGAGTCAAAGACATTTTGAATTGAAGAAACTTCCTGGATTGGAAGCAAAACGTCTTCCAACTTGGAAACAAAGTCCAGTGGACTCTAGGCCGATCCGTTTTACTCCAGAGGTAGAACCAGAACCATCCCTAAGGATTTCTTTGGATCGACCTGCAGTAGGCGGCTTGTTCCGTGGTCCGACCCGGATTCCCAGACGGTTCTCCAGGTGAAGGACGAACCCATTTCAACCGGTTTGAGGTTCTTGTTCTGGACGATCTTCACCAGACCTCTAGAGTTTTTCCTTCTACCAACAAACCCAGAACCTAGGTCCGGTCTGAACTGAGGAGAAAAGGTCCGATTCAAACAAAGACACTGGTTCTGTTTTGTTCAGACTTTATTTTAATGGTAAATTTAATAAACAATATAGATGATATTTATGGAGAACAATAAAAATCCGTCTTATCTGGGCCGACGGAACCAACAGAACTATTTACATGTGCTTCTGGTTCCCTTAGTTGACCCAAACCCAGCAGCCCTTTTTAAACCTGGATCTCACTCTGGAAGACCGGTACCGCTCAGATCCAAAACTATGCTTTTACATTTGGCCCAGACCCGGTTCTGAAGAACCTGAAATCTGAGCCCAACCAGGGAACCACAGACTGACTTTGGGCTTCCAGAGTAAAACGCCTTTAATACTGAAACTGTCTTTGCTACAACATTCGGTTCTGCTCAGAAATGAGGTCCAAACGGACCGTGAGCAGAAGCAGAACAGTAGGTCCGCTTTTTTTCTATTTGGCTTAAAGCTTCTTTGAAGCAGAATCCTCGGGTTCTCCGGCACCAGAACCGACCCACTTCATGGTTCCGTCAGTAACAGAGATGTGCAAATAAGAAAATAATCCACAAAAAGTCGACATAAAGCTACAGAACAGCAACGGTACCACAGAGAGTCCAATCCGCTCCAGAACCTTCCCTTTATAAGCTCTGCTCCAGATCCGGCACCTGGCCCACTCAGAACCAGGTTCTCTGAAGAGGATCGGACTCTCTTGGATGGTAACCAGGTCAGAAATAAAGCAGGAAGCAGCAAAGGTCCGGTCCAGTTCATGTTCTTTTTGTGGAAATAAAGACACTTGGAAATGTTCTGTTCTGGGTCAGATGCTGGCCGGTTCCGGCCGTCTGAAATCCCGCCTTCAGGCACAGCGATGAATGGAAGTAGAAATATGAACAATGCAAAGAGCAAAGGCTGGAATCTGATCCAGAACCGGGCCAGGTTCTGGAGGCCTCACAGCTCTGCAGTCTATGGGTCTGGCTGAGGTTCACAGGCTTCAGAACCGGACCCGTCGGTTATTAACACAAACCATCAGCATGGTGGCGGTTCTGACAAGAACCAGGAATATGTGCAAAATCGCTTCAGGTTAGAACTTTTGGGTTTTAAATTCTGAACGCTTTACTCCAAAAATATGCGGAATCTGGACCGGTTCTGTTTCCATCCGGCACAGCGGGTGGAAATGTTTCCGTTGTCATGGTAACAGAAAGTCCACACAGCCTCCAACACAGTACAGATACCCTGGATGAAGCACTGTTAAACCCAGCAGAACCTCACTGCTTCCAGCTGTAAAGCACGGCGGCGGCAGGTGGTGATATGGGCTGGTTCTGCTTCAGCAGCAACTGCTGCCAATTGATCCTAGAGTCCATCAACAGATCCAAACAGCAGCAGAACTGCTGCTGAAGAACAGAATCTGTCCTAGTCAAAGCCCAGACCTGTGGCTGAGCAGAACCATCAGTGCAGAGCTGTTCTGCTGGGGTTCTACAGGTTTCTGGACCAAGAGGTGGATCCAGGTTTTCAACCAAAAGAAAACGCACCGGGTTATCAGAGACTCAGTACGTTCTGGTGACCATGAATCCTACAGCGCCACCTGGTGTCCAGGCTGCACCGTTACCTCACTGTGGTGGAACTGGGCCGGATCAGAGGGTTCTACGCATCCAAGTTTGAAATTAAACATCGTCATGGAAACATGAGAGAGGAGAAGACCGAACCGAGTCCGCTATGTACATATAGATACATTATTAACACAGGGTCCAGTTCAGAACCAGACCCAGAATGAGCCGTATAGCAAACCAACCCTGAATGGAAACTTCTCTGAACCTTCTGGAGGCTCCAGCCTCAGCTCTGGTTTGGATTCTGGTTCTGGAAGTCCAGGCAGATCCAGATGCTCTCAGAACCTCTCCGATAAAAACGGCTCCGACCAAATGACCTCAAGGTTCTGCTGAAGTTCTTCCGCCAGCATTTCTCCAAGTCCCGGCTCAACAGGAACTGCCTAAAACTGGACCAGCAGAACCAGAACCATCTGCTCTGAATGGAGATCTGAGGAAAGGAAGCCTGGACCCACACTTCCTGGTCCTGATTTAGCTGCTTCTACATGTTGCTGTCCTCATCTGAGGGACACAACCAGCGTGTCCTCAGCATGTCCTCATGTCCAGCCAGAGCTGGGTTCTGAGCTGAGGGCGTCTGTCCAACATGTCTGCAGGAAGAGGCGGGGCTTACAGTGATTCTGGCAAATGATTGGATAGAAAATAAGGTGCGGTGAAGCTGCTGGTCCTGCTGGTGCCACAGGTGGAGCTCTAGTGTCCCTGGTGCTGGTGGGGGGTGAAGGCGGGAGGAGGAGACAGAGAGAGTGGGCGGGGCTGAAGACCGCTGCCCCCTACAGGCGGAGAATCCAGCGACGACTGCGAGACACTGAGACGGAGAAGCGGGATGAGTTTCTAGGACCGACTGGGTCTCAGGGTTAGCCACAATCTCAGCTGACCGTTACCTGACGGTGTAGCTGCTGCTGCGGTGGGAGGGGTCTGTTACCCCGGCAACAAAAAGCTTCTTCGGAGGTCCGTCTGAGTCCACACCGCCTGGAAAACAGGAGCGTGTGACGGGTTAGATCTGGAGGCCCCCTCAGTTTGTTTAGGGGTTCTAACGGCGGTTCTGAAAGCTACCTTTCCTCTTCAGCGGCGTCAGCACGGGCCATCTGACGCTGGCGCTAACCGCGGGTCTGTTGGACACCAACACAAACGTCAGAGCACTGATTCAGACAGAACCTTCCAGAATTAAACCGACTGACTGAGCTGGTTTGAACCTGAACCTCCGCGTGGGACTGGGGGACGAGTTGGGCGTCACGCCGCTGTCCTGAGACGGGCTCCACTGCAGGAGATAGAAACGGGGGTCTGGATCAGTAAAAACTGCCAACAATCTAGTTTAGATTCATCTAAATCCATCTGGATTAAGGTTTAAGCATGTTAACGGTAAATCAGGTTTTTAATTAATCTGGATTAATTCTTCACACTAAAACCTTTTTTCTGAACACAAAAATTTATCTGAAATCTAACTGGATAAAAACAAACTTTATAGCCTCTAGCTGATCCGGATTTTTGAATCAAATTCATCTCAGCCTCTGAAAAACAATCAAAACTGATCTAGTTTAGTTTAAATTAACAATGAAATGTCAGATCTGGATGCAGACTTTTATTGAAAGGTTTCTGAAGCAGCTTTCAGTTCTAATATTCCAGATTGTTTTGACCAGATCCATTCTGAACCTAATGCGGATTCAGTCACCCATACTAGTCTTCAGACTGATCTGGATTATGTCTGAACTCCCCAATCCAGATCCAGTGTAAACTGTATGAGCCTGATGGCTTAACATAAACTGACTGTAAAGGTTTAAAACTGGATTCATTCTAAACTAAGATCCTGCTGTTGTAATTGGGATTTAAACTGGGTTTAATCCTGTTGTGTCTCTAAGCTGAACTGGTTTCAGTCTGAATATAAAACCCATAACTTAATCTGGATCTTATTTGATAAATGATCTAATCCAGACTAAATTGAAAACCCAAACTTGACTACGTTTGAGTCCATTTGGACTGGATCTCCAGGATCCTGATCTGAAATTGCCTGATCTGGATTCAGCGTAAACAGAGGATGTGAATCTGGATCAAGTGTTGGATTCAGTCAGATGTTTTGGCCCAGAACAACCAAACATCCAGACAGGAAACTAAAGCTTCCTTCAAAATAAGAGCAGAGCGCTCACCGTGGAGGTGTGGCCATGCCAGTGGCTGACTGGAGGAGCTGGAACCAGACGAGACGGACTGGGAGGCAGAGCAGAGCAGTGGTGAGTCTGAGCAGGATGAGACTCTGACGGCGGGTCGGGTCGGTTCTCTTACCTGAGTCGATGCATGTTCCCGCGCTGCATCCCCTCCATGTTCTCCTCCTGCATCAAACACAAAACCAGTGAATCTGAGCTCCACAACAGCCTGTGATGGGAGGAATGGGAGTAATGGGAGGACCAGAACCAGGCTGACTCACCGGCCTCTTGTGGTCCAGTCTGTCTCCGCCCAGAGAGAAAGGAGACAAGGGGACGACCTGAGGGAGGACACAGAGAGACAGACTGAAGGAGAAGAACTGGCTTCTCCAGAACTACAGGGAGGTTCTTCTGGACCCTTTGGTTCCATGTGCTGCCATGAGGAGCCGGGCCATCGAACCTCCAACCAAGCAGGACTCTGAAGCTGTTCTACAAGATTTAAACTCAAATGGAAACAGAACCGTGGGAAGTCTGGTTCTGGGAGGACCGGACCAGCAGGCTTAGGATCCTCTGGAACCATAAAGTTCTGCCCACGAGAACTTTATGGGCCGGCCTTCTGGTAGAACTTAGTGTAAACCAAACCTCTCTGGGAGGTGATCCTGGTTCTGCTGTCAGCAGAACAGCCAGAAACGTTTCAGTCTGGTTTCAACGTTTAGAACCCCCAATAGATGAACCCACATCTGAACCTATCAGCTTCTGGTTCCGATGCTTCTGCCTCTCAGGTTCTTATCTAATTCTATTTTATTGGGCCTCTGCGGAGCCGGATCAGAGGTGGTCTCCCGCTCAGATTCTATAAGTCTGTTCCACTGATCTTCACTGGTTTGCTGATCGCCCATTGGTAGTATGGGGTTGAAGTAAAGTCACCGGCGGCCATATTGGTACTCCCTTGTTAGACCAGTCAAAATGTAAACATACACAGCATCGGACAACGATGATGCTCTCATTTTCAGGGGGGCTTAAGGCTTTTAAAATAAAGATAAATTCCTCACTTTGAAACACACTTGCTGTTTCATAGCATAAGTAGATTACTGTAACTTATAATAAAAAAATAGGCACATCACATTACATAATCATTATGACGTCAATGTAGTCTATAAATCATGTAAAATAATTTATTATACAATCCATCACAATAAAATTAATGTGTTAATGAAGCACAATAATACAGATGTGCCTGAAGTGCTAAATTGATTATGTAGATGTAATATACATGTACTGATTACATCGTTCTGGTAATTACATCTTTGTCTGGTAATGCATGCTATATATATATATATATATATATATATATATATATATATGTATATAAATGTTTAAGTTGCTTTTTTTTACATCGACATAACATGCAATATATTTCAGCTCTTGGCTTTTTCAAATGAGAAATACAACAAACACTACAAAAACTATGGCATCATCCACTTAATAAAGAATTACTACATTTACACTTCACTGTAAATTACTTTCTATTTACTCTTTCTATTTTTTAACTTTAGACAGTCAATGGTGAACTTAGTTAATGTCTGAAATATTTAGACTAATGTTACGATACATATTATACTGTAGGATAAATCAGCATATATATTGATTTTCTTGGTTAGTTCATCCACTGACTGTGAAATTACCTGTGGAACATCTTCCCACAGCTGGTAATCTGCTTGTTTCTGCAGCCAAATGCTACACATGTAGGTATTTTTACCCATAAGCGTGTCTCTGTGGGAGTGAGGAGTACCACTATGGTAGACAGTGGCTTCACTTTTTTCGGGCAACCAGCAATCCAGTGAATAAATAGAGATCAGTGGTCTGTTCTAGAGGCGGCCATCTTTACCCACCTGTGACGGGTTGATGGACACGCTGCTGCGTCTGTACCGGGCCGAGGACACTGGGCTGAACACGGTCATCCCATCACTGTGGGACAGAAGGACAGGAGACGTTAGTCTCATCTTTATCATATTAGCTGACATGTTCATCTTAAGATGCTGAGAAAGCCAGGATCTTCTTTGGTTCTGATCCACACCTAATTAGGGAAAACATACAAACCTCTTCTTCTGGACTGAAAGACCCTTTTAAGGCCCTTGGCTTAAAAGTGTTGGTAACCCTTAGACTAACGTCTCCATCTGAGTATTTAGGGGATAAATATTTTTTTTCACATTTATTAAAAAATCTTTAACGTGTTTTAAGCCTTTCTTTGTCATTTTAAGTGCAGTCAAACAGCAACATTTTGAATTTGTTATATTTGTTCATTTTAACAATACAGGAGAGCTTGGAAAAGAGACTAGAAAATAAAAATGCAGATTTTAAAACTTACTGGAATATTTGCTATTTATTCCGGTTTAATATCCGTCATGAAAATTTACAGGAACTATAATCTGTAATCCCGAAAAGCAGAAATAAATATCATTAAATGACTTTTGTTGTGTGGTGCAGTACCACTCACCTGACGTTAGTTATCATGGGGGCGCTGTTGGATCTGCGAAGGGCCCCGCCTCCTGCGCCTGCGCATTGGTCCACTTCCATCCGTTCCATTCCTCCGCGCGCGGGCCCAGCGCTGGCTGCGTGCTGAGCCGACCTCTGACACTCCTACTGCGGCTGGGGGCTGTACTGTAGCCCGGCGGAAGCCTGACCTGCAGGCCTCACTGGCAGCAGAGGCAGAGCCGCCGCGTCAGCGGACACAACACCGGAGCCGCGGCGCTTTATCGCATTTTCCAGCGCAGAAACCCTCCGGTTCTGAGAGGGGACGCGGACCTGAGCGACATTTATCCCCACAGAAGCGAACCAGCTGGTGCTTCGCGTAAACAGAAAAACGTCGAACCGACGTGAAATCTGTAAATACCGAGGATAAAGTTCGGTTAGCGGGTAAACTTCAACCCCAGCGGGCTGTTTGCCTCCGGCGGCGACTCTTTAAAGCCGCTCGGGACTTTGAGGATTAGCTGTTGAGCTAACTTGTTTTTGCAGTAAAACCTCCAACCACAGATCTAAATTCTGTTAAACAGCGGTCCAAACCTGCCGAACCGGGACCGGATCACCAGAACACGGAGGGAAAAGTCCTCACAGTTGCATCCATCCACTCCAGGATCCCCAAAAAAGATCCAAAAAACCGGAGAAAAAAGAAAGAGTTTGGAAGATTTTTACAACATATAGTCTTTCACCAAATACAGGGAGTTCTGCACGCGGGGAAACAGCACCGCCCTGTGGCTGCTGGCAGAACTGCAGCCCCGATAACAATCTGAAAACAAGATCAAATCTAAAAAAAAAAAAAAAGAAGGAAAAAACAGACAAAGCTGCATGTTTTTCTTTAACTTACAGTTTGGTTCAGTTATCGATTGAAATCATTGCTGTCACCACAGAATGAATGAAATAAGTTTTACCACAGGATGTATAGCATCTGGCTGAAATAAAATCACTGAAAACACCAATCTAATCATGTATTTCACCTATTTTCTTTTAATTTTATCTGTTTTATAATTTTGATTCTTACTTTTGTGGATCAGAAGCCTGACGATTAAAGAAGGCTGTTAGATCTGTGCTCGCTGCATCAGATGTTTACATTTAGAAGTAATTTCCCTCTGGGATTATTAAAGTATTTCTGATTCTGATTTATCACTGCTGCACTTTAAAAATGGAAATGTCTTGAGAGCTGTACTGAAGAGAGTCTAAGGTGCCAATGGGCAAAAATTTAAATTGTACTGTACCTGAAAAAATAAAGATAATGAAAACAGTAAATAAAAAGTAAACATTTACATCTGGTGTTGTCTCTATAGACCAGGTTCTCTTTTTATTACTTTGTATAGAATAATACATCGAAAAATATCTTCCAGTATTATGCTTGCTTTTGTTTACACTGATTATATTTTAAATTGATGAAATCATAGTTTGATTATTTTAATCCTTCAGTGGATCAATAAATATAATCTATAAAACAAGCATAGAAAAATATTCTGTTCTATCAAACATCTGTCATCAATCTCCATGGTAACGGTTTAATTCACATTCCCTTAGGTTCATTTTCACCAATATATTTTGTTGAATTTTCTTTTTTGATACAACAAAACTTACAGACAACAAACTTACTTATACACACTCACATTCACTCAGGCATTCACCATTTAAACCTGCATTTGTCTAGTTACAAAAATATACCAAACCTTTAGATTAAGGCAGAGACTTAAAAAAAAAAGAAAAAGGGGCAATATATGAATAAAAACTGTAGTCAAGACATCCATTCAAAACTCCCATCTATAAGCTCCACTTTCAGTCCCTATGATCCTCTAATATGGCTCCCATAGATTCTCAAAAGTCACTTTGTTTGCCCTTTGCAATTTATGTTAGTTTTTCCAGTCCGAGTGAACTTGCAACTTCTTTCCTCCAGAGTCCCATGGAGGAGGCTTCCATGCTCCTCCAGCATGGTGCCATAGATCTGCTGGCTTAAAGAAGTCCGTAGTCCATCAATGTAGTTATCCTCTGTAATTGTTTAAATTCTATTGGATATATTCCTAGAACGCAGATTTTAATCTCTAATGGGACTTTTACGTTAAGCAATTCAGATAGACGCCTAATCCTTTAATTTCATTTTGATCTAATTAATCAGAGGTTGTTCATCAAATCAAATCGAAAGAATCAGAGAAACGAACGACTGAACCCAACAATACCAGAACTTCCAGCGGAAATGTGGTTGCCTTGGAAACAGCCTCTAAATAATCCTGGAATCAAACATTCTGGGAACATCTTAACTTCTGGACCTGTCAGCAGAACTGGGTCCATCTCTACAGGGAGGCACAGAACCAGAACCACAGCTATGACCCAACCAGTGAATCCAGCTCACAGAGGTTCTGGTTCTGAAATGTTCTGGACATTTCCAGAACCTTTGGTTCGGATGTTCTGCTGGACTCTCCTGATGTTTTCAGGAGATTCTCATTTAATCTGAACCAGAACAGAAGAAGCGGGTCCGTGAACAGCTGATCCTGTCAGCTGACAAGATGTCCTGTTGGGGTCCTGACCTTTGACCCCTGTCACCGTCATGCTGGGCAGGACAGACTCAGCCTGGAAGGTAAAAACTAATCTAAAAATAAGTCAAATACCCTAAAAAGTTGTTTTACCCTTAACTTAAGAAGGACAATGTGGTGATCTCCCAATTAAATTAATATTTCTGTCCTTATTTAGTTATTAGGATATGAAAATAAATAATGGGGTAATTTATTTTAAACATTAAAAATATCAGTCATTCTTAAATATTGCCTGATTTACCTATTAAAATGAAGGGAAAATAAACTTAGTTTAAAAAAAATGAAGTAACATGGAGGAATAGAGTTTGTCTGGCAGAGTTTGAAAGCTTCTGCTTCCTTCCTCCTTCCTCCTGCAGCAGGAGCTCCTGTGTGTGGGCGGAGGAAGAGGAGGAGCAGGGGAGCTCCTGCCTTCCTCCAGGCCCACTTCACCAACTTCCAGAACTCCTCCAACTTTCCTCAATGGCTCCTTGAAGGACGAAGTTGGAAAACTTCGCCTCGCAGTTGATCCACGCGGACGGAGAGCGGCATGAGGGAGAGACACGGAGCCGCGTGGATGTGACCGCGAGGGTCCGAGATCCGGAGGTTCCCACGGAGAACTGGTAAACAACAGAGAAGGAGGGGCGGTGACACCCCGGAGATAGATATATGATAGATAGATTATAGATAGATGATATATAGATATATGATAGATAGATTATAGATAGATGATATATAGATATATGATAGATAGATTATAGATAGATAGATAGATAGATA